ATAAGTGGCGAGATCTTTCGAACGCCCTCCAGTAGTAAAATCTGCAATTGCCGGAGCTTTTAGACTTTCAAAATGTTTGTTTCCAAGAGCATCAAAATTTGTTGAGTCTATTTTGTACCGTAATAAAGAGAGAGATTCACATTATTTTTAAACTAGCATTCCACGATTTTCAGCAGAAACCTCCATTCACGAGGAATAAAATTAGGCGCACAAATTCCCAACACCAGAAAATCAAAAGCAATCCATAATCGTCAATGACTGCAATTTCGATATCGTAGATAAATGTCCTTGGAAAATTCGTGAAATATAGGCCAAATTGGATTGCTTTCAAAATGGCGTTAGCGTCTTGCACTGATGATCTCATTGTAGTTAAAATAAAAAAGCGTGATACAATTCGGTTTATGATGGGTGAAGTAGGACATCCGACATATACATATATAAGACAATTTACATGCGAATGGAGGGAGAAAAAGGTGGCTCAGTCTGAAAAACCCGCTGGCAGGAAGTTCATTGATCAGGTAAGGAACCTGTTTGGCTCGAGCACCTTGGGGCTCAATTTAGAGTCTTTGCAGGCAGTCGCAATATGACCATTAATATCTGTTTTACGTAATATTTAATGCCTTAATGGATAAAGTCTGGAGGTTCGGCTTGAATCGTACTCGATGATCTGTAATGGTCACTGACTAATAAATGAGCTCAGCTGTGGCAGCCCTTTGCCGTACTTTTATTTATCCGCAACTTTGTCATACTTCTATTTCTACTCAACCCTCTAGCCCGACTCTATTTGTTACGCATTTTCGTAACTCGCATTTACCTCTATGTGTTTACATTGTGTGTTAACTGTTAGGCGCAAAACTTCAAATGGTGTGAGCTGGGGTATCAATGAGTGATATTTGATCCACTGCCCTTGGTTTTTCATTGGTCGGCGTAGACAGCTGATTTCGTCATCGCGTGGCTATCTCGCTCGGCTTATCTTGACTTGTTCTCAGCGGGGGATCGCATTATCGATCGTTCACACTCGCTAAACAGTAACCGAGCCATGGATAAGGATTGTGGCCTTGAGTATGCTAACTCGCAACTCAGGGGGCTGTCTGTCCTAGAAAAAATTTCCAAAAATTCACTAAATCGGTGAATGCTTTTTCTAATTTTTCTCCCTGGCAACGATTTTTGAAATTTTCGGAAGTTTCCGATTTCGAGAAAAGTTGTCGTTCCCTAAAACGCGTACTATTACTTAAAACAGTTTCTTAGGTTTCCATTTGCTGAAGTTGTTCATTCGTCTATTCGTTGGTAGCGGTTTGCTAATGATTATCAGTCTTTCCTACATTTCGGTACATTTCATGAGATGGCAAACTGTATCACTGTACCTGCCTTCTCCTATCCTTCCTCCTATGAAAGTCCAGCATCATGCATAGTCTTCTGGCGCCCTTTAAAATAATTAAAATTAGAGTACAGACACTTGCACTTTCCTATGGGCGAAATGGCAACTAGAAATGTTCCACCAGGCTGCCCTCCAAAACCTGGGCAGAAAAGCAGTAAAAACACACAGGGGTTAAGTTATTTTAGCAACTAAAAATAAACCGCTATTCGGATTTCCCAGAGTGTGTTGTGGAGTCACAAAAAGGTTCTTTCGGAGCGCAGTTAATGCTTTTTTTCCGGGAGGAAAAATCGAAAGCCTTTAACAAACCCCTTATAGAGCCAAATGAACGCACAACTTAACCCCTGAATTTAACGTATGATTCGTTGCTCAGTCGAGGGTAAAAATGGGCCGGGCTCTTTGACGCAAGCAACCGAAGCCAGACTACGGCTCACTAAAGCGCTTAATTCCATTAACAAAAATTCACCTCTCATGCGGTAAAATTAAGAGTACTTTTCTAGGTTTGGTTTACAGTGCGGTTATCAAAGCAGGCAGTGCCGAAGAACAACGTTTTGCTAATTTCAAGTGCCCCTAACTTGTCGTCAGTTTTGGGACAACTTATTTGAAACTAACCAGTTTCTCATGCGCATAATAAACATCAAAAATACCGGACTAGACAAACGTTTATGGGAATTATTTGATTTAGCATTCACAAAGTTGGTATTTCTTTGAATATGGATTCGAGTTCTGAAAAGATTTCGCATCAAAAATATGCAAGCTTTAAGCTGACAATGAACTTAGAATGAGGGTTTTACGATATCCAGAATATAAGCATTCTGAGCGGAGTAAAGTTAAGTAAGTCTGCAAATGAAGTTTACTTTAAAGTCCTCTTCCTAACTTATCCCGCTTGAGATATTTGCATTGCCCTCGGGTTTTACTAAGAAGTAATCGGATTTGATTAGTTATCAACTGGGTAGTATAGAGCTCACTACGGAAACCAAATCTCCAGAGTTCTCAAATGCGTGACCGACGGTAATTATGATTATACGGATGGACATTACAGGGGCGCAGAACGAAAAAAGGCATATCAAACAAAAAGGGAAAATAGTGAATTGCATTATTATAAAAAGTTACTATATAGCAACAACAAACCGTGCGATGATTAAAAAGTAAAATTAAAATAAATTCATTAAATTAAATGATAATGCAAAGGTGAATAAGAATTGCCGTTACCGTCTGTGACGCATTACAGAATTCTGGGGATTTGGTTCCCGTAGTGACCCCTATACTAAAATGTTACGTTTATGCTCATAGAACGAAGTCGCAAGTCGAATAATGGATGAGCCAGCATGCGCTAAAGTTCAGGGTTGGGTGCTTACTTGCCTCTCTTGACTATAGTCCTAACACCCATGGCCATGGAATAAAGTTCTGAAAAAAACACACTATTGAATCCAGATGTCGAGGGGGAGAAGCTGGGTCCGAGCTGTTGGGACATTTTTATTTCCTCACACTCAAGTGCCATATTCGAGCTCAGCAAGCCATCGCAATCCAACATCTGACTATTTGCTCAATGACTTTTAACTGGCGGAAGTTCCGGAAGATCTTATCCATAGATTAATTCAACAAA